GGGGAAGAGAAAGAGAGAGACAGAGAGACAGAGAGGGAGGGAGGGAGAGAGAGAGAGAGGAGAGAGGGGGGAGGGAGGGAGGGAGGGAGGGAGGGTGGGAGGGAAGGTGCCTGGTAGCGCTAGCTGGCATTCTCCTTCTTCCCCCTTTGTTCCTCCTGGGCCCCAGCCTATTAGATGGTGCTATCCATATTTAGGGAAAGTCTTTCCCTTAGTCATCTCTGGAAACATCCTCTCAACTCCCTGAAGTGTGCATATTAATCTCTTAGGCATCTCTCATCCTAGCAAGTTGACAAGATTAATCATCACACTCTTTGATCTCTTTCTCAGACTTCAATTTTGCATATTATTGGTCTGCTTTATGTGGACCATGTGCCCCATAGTTCCTATTCACTTTCTTTCTTCAAATTGTCTTCCTTTTTGGTCAGTCATGGGGCTTGAACTCTGGGCCTGGGCGCTGTCCCTCAGCTCTTCAGCTCAAGGCTACCGCTCTACCACTTGAGCCACAGCACCACTTCCAGTTTTCTGGTGGTTTATTGGAGATAAGAGTATCACAGACTTTCCTGCCCGGGCTGGCTTTGAACCACAATGCTCAGATCTCAGCCTCCTGAGTAGCTAGGATTACAGGTGTGAGCCACTGGTGCCCAGCTTTCCCATTTTTTGAAAGTTCTTTTTTTCCAAACACCTTAATTCTAACCATCCTGTCTTCATGGTCACTGATTCTTTATCCTGCTCAAATCTGCTTTTAAATACCGCCAGTGAAGTGTGTGTGTTCCGGTCCTGGGGCTTGGACTCATGGTCTAGGTGACAAGTTCAGGAATACCTGAACTTTTTTCCTCAAGGCTAGTGCTCTACCACTTGAACCACAGCTCCACTTCTAGCTTTGTTTGTTCTTAATTGGAGATAAGAGTCAGAGATTTCTGCCAAGGTTGGCTTTGAACTATGATCCTCAGATCCCAGCCTCTTCAGTAGAATTCCTCTTTGGTGTCTTTTTAGGTTCCCTATCTCTTTATAAGTATTTCTATTGTGCTCACAGGTGTTTGGGGCAAGAGGGGATTTTATCTGTATTTTTCAACTCAAGTATTTATAAGATAGTTGTTTTAGAGCTGGGTATGTCGCTGTATACCTGTAATCCCCATTACTCTGGAGGCAGAGACAGGAGAATAACAGTTGAAGGCCAGCCTGAGCAAAAGTTGGTGAGAGCCTATTTTAAAAATATGACGGATAAGATGATGTATATTCTTGGTCACAGCTACTCAGAAAAGCAAAGGTAGGACGATCACTGTTTGAAGCTAGCCCAGACAAAGTTATCCTATGATTCTGTCTGGAAAACAAAGACTAGGACATGACTCAAGTTTAAGGCCCTAGGCTCAGTCATCAATATTGGGGAGGGGTAAGTAGTTTTACTTTATTTTACTATTAAGTAGTTGTACAAAAAGGTTCCAATTCCATACGTCGAGTTATGAGTACAATACATTTTGACCAATGCCAGGCTCCCCATCATTCTTCTCCAAGAAGTAGTTTTAAATCACTTTACAGTAACAATAAGTGATCAGAGCCCAGATTTAGATATTGGGAATTCCACATGACCTGTTGCTCACCCTGACTCCTGCTAGTTGTGCTCCTAAATCACCAGGAAGACATACACAGCTGCCTTTTCTAAGGCTGGGAGCAGGAAATATATCACAGCTACTACGAGAATTACTATCGAAGCCCCTTCCTAGAAGTTTCAAGCCTTCAGTAGACTCCAGAGTTTCAAAATAGTTGCAGCACAGTTTCTGAAATTGTTATTTAAATAGGGAGACAGTCTGGTGTTTCCAATTCCACCATTTTCCCCAACAAGAGATTATTTTTTAAACCAATAAAACAAATGGCCAATTTGCCTATATAATATAGGTAACTTTTCTTCTGTGTTTTTTCACAGGGACTGATAGAAACAATTAACAAGAAAAAAATATTTTTCTTAGCTTACATTTGTCAAGTGGGAAGATTGCATTGTGACATTTCCACACGTTTGCAATGTATTCCAATCATTTTTTCACATGTGCATTTTTACAGGAAAGTGAAGAAGCAGTCAGCATCAAATGCTTGTATACTAAATTAGATGAAGAGTAGCAAATTATGGATATGTGGCAAGATAAAGGACGTTGGCTACATAGTTAATCACGGATAAATGACTAGAAAGACAGAGGCTAGTTTAATAAAGTTTAGTTGTACATTTTTTCCTTAGAGTTGATTTCTCATCTCTGATGGTAAAAATGTTTCTTTTTCTCTTGCAAATGTTTCTTCCTACTTGGTGTAGTGAGTGTTGGGTTCAAGAGTTAATTCTACCAGTGGTCAGGGTGTAAAATAATTCACAATAGATCAATCAAGGAGCAAAGGTTTGTTCATTTTCTAAGAGAGGAGGGGGCCAGAGACCCAGGGTAATGTTGACCTCCTGGAATAATGAGCCAGCTTCAAAAGTGGGGGTTGTAGGAAAGTGGGTGGGTTAGCAGATGATGAGGTAAGGTGTGTAACCCTGATTAGCTGGGCCAGTTGACTCAGGGTGTGCTATGGCCCAGAGTCACATCTTCAAAGTTTCTGAGTACTATGGTTTCTCAGAAAAGAACAAGAGAAATTGCTGGCTCAGTGAAGATAAGTATGCTTAGGTTTAAGGCTGGGTAGATCAGGGAAAGTAAGGCCTGGTAAAAAAGACCCAGAAATTCAATGATAAACACTGTATCAGGGAATAGTTTGATTAAAAGCATGTAGCAGCTGAGGAACTAGTGGCTCATATCTGTAATCTTAGCTACTAAGAGGTTAAGATCCGAGGAGCTTGGTTTTGAAGCCAGCCTGGCAGAAAAGCCCATGAGATGTTTTCTTATTATCTCTAATTAACCATTAATCACCAAAGAACTTGAAGTAGAGCTGTGACTAAAGTGGTATAGCGCTAGCCTTAAGTAAAAAAAGCTGAGAAAGTACCCAGGTCCTGAGTTTAAGTCCCAGGACTGACATACATACACACAAAACAATATTTTCTTTGCTTTCAGCTTTTATGCTGTCCCCAATCAAACAATAAGATGCAATACTTAATGAAAAGGAATTTTTTTAAAAAGGAAAGACATAGCATCTCTTTCCCTCTGATCTGACTACTTGAACAAATAATTAGTAAAACTATGATATATTAAAGAAAAGTACATATCCTGGGAAAAATCTCTTGGGGAAAATGAGAGTTCTGGACACAAAAATCTTCTTTCAAGAGAAAGTATTTCTCACAGGATGGATCAATAACTGTCTTGAAGGGAGTATTTGGCAGAACCTACAATGTACCCTTAAGAAAAAGGGAGATGCTGAAACATCTTAATACACAGACCCACCTTGACATCTGTAGGCCCAACTAATAAAACAGTGTAACAGCAAGAACGACTAACTATACCAGGTATCCAAACAAAGTGGAGTACTTACCCAAAGTTGAATTTGAGCCAAAACCCCAGCCTACTTTTTCCGCCACAAATCCTAGTGATGTTAGAATACTCACTGCACCTGTGATAACAGGTGATAACAGATATGTCCACACTTATGTCTGGGTTGTGTACTATGTTTGTTCTTTGCTTAGCTTTACTAATACATTGTCTTGGTCTCCACTTCCATGTGTTCTATAACCTTTTTTTTCCAGTATCACAAACTTGAACTTCATACCCAAGGGTCAGCTGGTTTCACTCCCTAAAGACCTCCTCCATGCCAGTATACAAATGCAGTTTAGGTGCAAAATGGAGTTAAGTTTCATTGGTAACATTACAATGAGCTAATCTTTCACATGGGAATTACATCTCTTGCTTTCAGCATGAGAAGAGAAGGCTGGTATTTTTTTAGGGCTATTAATTCAAATTAATATGTCAGAATGGCATATTTGAGGGTGTCATTTTTAAGCTTTTTTTTGTCAGTCCTGATAACTCAGGGTCTGGGCTCTGTCCCTGAGCTTCTTTTGCTCAAGCCTACCACTCTACCACTTGAGCCACAGTGCCACTTCCAGCTTTTTCTGTTTATGTGGTACTGAGGAATTGAACCCAGGGCTTCATGCATGCTAGGTAAGCACTCTACCACTAAGCCTCATTCCCAGTCCATTTTAAAACTTCTTTACCAATCTAATACCTGTGCTCTCATTCATGATTACTAAAAAACATTTAGTCTCTTTGGAATGAAATGCAACTCTCCAGATTAAAAAAATTTTTTTTTCCTGGACAGATATGAGCGATCTGTGATAAGTGGGTAGAAGCCATTGGGCGTGTCCTCGAAGAAAATGCTTTACAGATGCTGGCTGTGCTGCCTATCACCCTGTCTGGGAAGAAGATATGGTGTCAGGGACTGAAGGTTAGAATGCATGCTGCTACACATGTGGAATCTAAAGATGGAGGGAGTTTGGTACTTGGCTGTGCAGGTACCATTTTACTTTTGTCTTTGTCTTTCTTTCTTTTAACTAGGAAAAAATAAACTTTCATTTCTTTACTTTTATTTTCTCTTACTGAGAGTGTAAACCCCCCACCCCCAAAAAACAATAACAAAAAAAACTCCACCACTGTTTCTTCAGCTCACTCTCCTGGCTACTTTTGGGAATCATTTGGTAATATTTTAAAAATATACTAAAGCTTGGGTCTTACTCAGTTAGCTCTGATTTCATTCATTGATTCCTAGCCATAGTAGGGCAGCTTTGGGCCCCTGGTAACTCTGCAGAAGATTTTGAGAATCACTGTCAGTTTGTCATTTTATCTCAGGTTGTCATAAAATTTTATCTGAGCTCTTGCCCCAGTTTGTAGTGACTGACTTGAGTTCAACCCAGCTCCTTGGGGGTAAGAGAGGAAGTTTTTATTGATTTGCCCCTACTATGGGGCCGGGACCCACCCCGTTTAGGCCCCGCCCCGTTTAGGCCCCGCCCCGTTTAGGCCCCGCCCCGTTTAGGCCCCTCCCCGTTTAGGCTCCGCCCCACTGCGACCCAGGAAGAGCCGGGAGTTCCCCCGCCCAGTCCGTGTTCCAGGAGCCCTGTTGTGCGCCTGCGCGATGCTGGGCCTGGCGCGCAGTTTGAATTTCCCGGGGCGCTGCTTCCTCTGATCCTGGGTTTCTGGAGTCTGTGCAGCTTGGCCTCCAGCTTCCAGTGAGTCCTTTGTTCCTAGTCGGCACGAAGTTGAGGATCCGGACCTCAGAAGCAGCCAGAAGCATCGTTTGGCAGGTGGGGGCCGCAGGATCGCGGCGTGGGCTGGGCCCAGCACCCTTCACCCGCCCCGGGACTAGGAAGTGAGCTTTTCCCTCTCAGCATTTCTGCCTGCCACAAACTGAAGCCCTACCCCATGAGAAAGTCCTTTCTTAGGCGGTTTTCTTTAATGTGCTCATGTATTTTGCATAGTGCTTTTTCTAACCGGATCTTCAAGGAAAAGGGCTAGGATGATCCCCTGTGCCCTGGTTTTTGAGATCCGTGGGCTGCAGAAGGCTCTAAGACGTGTCAGTACTGTGGTTAGAAACCGAATTTTGTACAATTGAAAGAACTGTAATTTACTCCGTGTTTTACTTTTCTTGGATTTTGAAAATGAGAAAATTATGTGACTCGCCCTTTCTCCCGTCTGTTTAGTTTACCCTCCCTTTTTTCCTTCCTTTTTTACAAATGTGTTTACATTTTGTTGTTGTTGTTGTTCAGACACCTAAACGATGGCCTCAGATCTGGAACAATTGTGCTTTCATGTTAATGAAAAGATCAGCAATATTAAAAGAACTCTGTCACTAAGAAATCTTGGTAAGATAAGATTATTGACTTTCTGTATAGAAAATGCCCTTTAATTATTGTTCCACTTCGAGTAGTATCTTAGAAAGATAATTTTAAATTTTGAATGCTTTTTAAAAAGCATTCCACTTGAATAATACAGAGGATACACTGGATGATGAGCTGATATTTTGTCAGCATTATTCACTTAGATTTTTCTGAAGCATATAGAGCAGTCTTGAGATATGAAGGCTATATGTCATCCATGACATCTACAGAACTAAATGGATATTCTAAAATGTAAGAGGGAAAAACCTGAAGTGGTAGAGGTCAAAATGAAAAGTTCAAAGGAACAGCTGATCCATGCCAAGCCTAGAGTGTTTTAGGAAGGATGTGTTTCCCTTCCAGTCCAGGAAAAGTTGATTTTCTGCTTGGAAGAGTTGGCTTTTTGCTGTAGTTTGGATCATAAATTTGATGGTTTAAAAGCATCTCCTCACCACCCAACATCAAATTATGTTGGCTATGCCTTTTTGAATTACACATGCTCCCCAAGGATTTGTTATTCTCAGGCCTTCTTATGTTGTAAGGTAAATCATCCCAGAAGTCACATTTTAAAATATAGAATATTGGAGTCTTTATTATACAGTTAACAAAGGCCTATAGCACACAAATACACATAACACAGCTAGGAAACATGCTAAAGAGGAAAGAAATAACAAAAACAATACCAACAAGCCAATTCAGCTCCAATGGAGAGCTGAATTGAGACTCCATAATGACTGGAGACTAGCCAGGAGACAGGACACAGGACACAATCACAGAGACACAACTCAGGTGTGGCATGGCCTCCAGCAGCTAGGCTGGTATGGGCCTAAATAGGTCGGTGCTGGGGGCAGATCCTCAGGAAATTCCCAGTCCCAGGCACTAGACTGACAGATTCAGTAACCTATCAGCCAAGTGCCCGCCCCTGCCTCCAGGGGTCCTGGCATACTCATTACTTGGGAGGCAGGTGATGGGGGCAGGGGGTGGGGGAGGTGTCCTTCCCCCAGAATGAAGACAAGATGCCAGACCCTACCATCCACCATGTGGCCAATATGTCATGGCCCAGACTTGACCTCCTTACTTCATTAATAAAGAACCTTCATTTATTTTATGATTTACAGCTCACTTACTCCATAGAAAATAAAAGCCAAAGACACTGTGGGCTCAGTTTAACAAGTCCCCTTATTTCATACCTGAGGAAACCAAGTGAAATGGCTTGACAGAGTTCCCAGCTCATGTATACTTAGGCAGAACAGCAGTTTGTGAGTCTTGATCCCCAGTATGGTACCATTTCTACTTCTAGGCTACTTTTATCGAAAAAGCAACAACTTAGAAGAATTTTAGATTTTAATAATTAATCTTATTTAGATGATCATTCTGAGACCCTGTTTACTGTTGAATAAACCAATCATTTGCGAATATATAAAACTACATTCAGCAGGACACCAGTGGCTTGGAATAACCCTAGCTACTCCTAAGGCTGAGATCTAAGGATCATGTTTCAAAGCCAGCCCAGGGCAAGAATGTCCTTGAGACTCCCCTCTCCAGTTAACTACCAGAAAGCCAGAAGTGGAGCTGTGGCTCAAGTGGTAGAATGCTATCTTTGAGCTCAGGGACAGTATCTCTCCAGGTCTAGAGTCCAAGCCCCAACACACACACACACACACACACACACACACACACACCTACATTAAAATGACCCCATGAATATCTGAAACCTAACTGGAGTGGTCAGACCCATGACCACTATATCCTGGACAATTGTCATTTTATACATGCGGAGAACACTTTGTTTTTATTCCCTTAGCCAGTTTAATAGAATCTGGCATTTGTCAGTCCCTTTGGCTGCTATCACTTTACCAGAGGACTAATATCAAAAATATCAATTGAGATAGTGCTAGCCTCAAACTTTGCTCTTCTCAATCTGTCTCCTAAATCAATGAGATTATAGGCATAAAATACCCTGCTGGTCTGATTAGGAGTTTTGAGTAGTGTTGCTAGTGTACATATGATGGTATAAATATGACCCCCAAATGCAATGTGTATGTTTTGAAGCCTCAGAGCTTTAGATCTATTCCCATTGAAGTCAAGGCTATCCAGTTGCTAAGGCTGACAGCTTCCTTCCCAGCATCCCTCTTTACCCACTGGACTAGGATGCTTGAGCATCTGTTCACTCGTGCTACCTTGTCTGTGGTCCCTCTTATATTGTAATCCCTTAAGATTTACCTTTTTCTCAGGCATGCTCAGCCAGGCATATATACAGGTGTTTATTTAGTCTTTCAGGTGTTCCATTATAGTAGAGGAATTTTCCAGAAACAAAAGTCTTAGGGAATACTTGGTACTTTCTTTTCATCCTTCTCTTCCATACTACTTAGAGATTACCCATGGAAACAGGTCCTAGGGCTGAAAGAACAGTCCTTTCTTCAGCCCAGCTATTCCTAAAGATGGCCTTTTGTCTTATGAGTTCACATGGGTACTTCTATGTTCTTATTTTGATATACATACTTGTTTTCCACTTTATTTTTGTTTATAACAGGCCAGGAACCTGCCTCAAACACCTTATTAAGTAAAATAGGAGATGAGATTGTTGTAGTTAATGAACTTCTCAATAAATTTGAATTGGAAATTCAGTATCTCGAACAAACCAACACGTCACTCAAGGTAAGGCTTTTCAAATGAAGAAACAAAATAAAAACAGAGCAATAAACACAAACTCCCTGATCACCAGGTAATTTGTAAGGATTCTTTAAGTTTGTAATGTTTTTAGTATCTTAACTTATTGTGGTAGTGAGTGTTTATGTCCATGGTGAAGAATCTACTCTGCTGCTGTTTCTTTCTTCATGCTAATAGCCAGTGAAAGTGAACTTCACTAAAGAGGAGGGTTTCTAATGATGCTTGTTAGGTTTGTTATAAATCAAGCATGCTTGGGGAGGGTGATAGCTTGGCTTGGGGGGATATTGAGTCCTCAGATTCTGTTGAAAGCACTTGTCACTTGAGGAAGCTCCTTCATCCACTGGGGGCTCAGGAAATTTACTTAAAAATAATGCTGGATTGCTAGCTGTCTTTTATTTCTTCATTTCTTTCTCTTTTAGAAAATGTTGAACAGAGATTTTTTTCAGTAAAGAAAACTGGAGTCTCATATACACTTTTTGTTCTGAATTCAACTTCTGGTTGACTTCAGCTCATAAAAGTGCTTATGTACTTTTTAACGAGAACATACTTAGTTTGTACCATTATCTCATGCTGTTATGGAAATGAACAAGGTAGCCTCCACAGTCTCATTCAGCCTTGTAAGCCTTAAAATCTGTAAGGATTTTGCAGCTATAGGAATGGACTTGATTATGCCTATCCTATCTATTAGTCAGCATGAAACTGAAGGTCATTTAGTGTTTTGTTTTGTTTTTCTTTTTGGGTGACGATAGGTAGATACTCTATCACTTTACCTATGTCCCTAAACCTTTTTTTGTTTTAGTTATTTTTCAGACAAGGTCTTGCATTTTTCCCATAGCTGGCCTTAAACAGTAATCCTCCTACCTATGGCTTTCTGCCTGGCTACGATTACAAGCCTACCACTACACTTTGATGTTTGAGGTGAAATCTTGCTAACTGTCTGATCTGATACTGAACAATGATCTCACTCTCCCAAGTAGTTGTGAGCCACCATGCCCAGCTCTCATTTAGTACTTTAGAAGAAACATCATAAATTTGAAACAGAAACTACTATTGGTATTTCAATTCCAACCTGTCCAAGAACAACCAGGGCAGGTGTAAGCTTAGAGACTGTTCAGCTGAGAACTAAAGGTGATTTAGAATTTGTTTCCATTATGCTTTGGAGCCAGATGAAAGAATCCGAACGTACAGAATATATTCCTTGTTAAAATCTGCATGATTTTTATTGTCTCATTCTAATTTATTAAATACAATACATGTACTAAATAAAAACATTTAAAAAAGAAAAAAAAACCAAATCACCTAACACCACTGAGAACAAAGCCAGTTATGATCAAGTAGAAATTTTAATCACACTGGTGTTGAAGCCATTCTAAGCAGCACCCCATGTTCATCACCTGAATGGGCATTATCTCCCTGGTACCTTGTACACAGGTAGCACTGGGAATGTATGCTCAGTCAACAGAAGCAGTTTACCAGAATGAGAAACATCCATCTTTCATCTGTTTCTTAGTTGCTTCCCAAGGTGAACATTATTTGAGCAAGACTTAAAACTCAACCCTGCCTCTCAGATATAATGTGATTAGAGTGATTGCTCTCAGAAATTAAAAAAAAAAAAAATCCCTAGAGAGGAATGGATCACCCTCTCAAACCATCTCTAGAAGCCCAAAGCTTTTTTCTTTGTGGGTGTGTGGGTGCTGGGGATTGAACACAGGCCTTCATGGGTACAAAGCAAGCACTTTACCGTTGAGCCCTGTCCTTCCTCCTGTCCTCTCTCTCCCTTTCTTCCCTAGATCCCCTCCCCATCCCTCCCCCCTCTTTCTTTTTTTCTCTTTCTTTCTCTCTCCCTCTTTCATTCTCTTTCTCTCCCTCCCTCTCCCCTCTCTCTCTTTCTCTCTTTTTCTTTTTTTTCTTCCTCTTTCTTTCTTTCTCTCTCTTTCTCTTTCTTCTGCCTTCCTTCCTGCCTGCCTGCTTGCCTGCCTGCCTGCCTGCCTGCCTTCCTTCCTGCCTTCCTTCCTTCCTTCCTGTCTTTCTTTCTGTCTTTCTTCCCTTCCTCCCTTCCTCCCTCCTTTCTTTCCTTCCCTCCTTCCCTCCCTCCCTCCCTCCCTCCTTCCTTCCTTCTCTTCTTTCTCTTCTTTCCTCTTCTTTTGTCTCTTCTCTTTTCTTTTTTGTTTTTTGGTGCCATTACTGGAGCTTGACTTTGAGGCCAGAGGACTCTTAGCTTTTTCCATTCAAGGCTGATGCTCTGCCACTTGATTCGAACCTCCTCTTCTGGCTATTTGCTGGTTAATTACAGAAGAGAGTCTCTTGGGATTTTTCTGCTCCAGCTGGCTTTGAACCATGATCCTCAGATCTCAACCTCTTGAATAGGTAAGATTACGGGTGTGATCCACTGGCACCCTGCAGCTCTTTCTTTTTGATGTGTTTAGCGCTTTTCCACTTCACTCTATTCTCAGCACTCCACTATGATTGTTGTTCCCAGTCCCTCCTGTCTTTCGAATGTCTTACACCAGACAGAAAAAAGCTTGTTCATGAGATTTTTTTCCCCCCCTTTTTAATTCTAGGAGCTCTGTGACTCTCTTGAAGAAGATTATAAAGATGTAGAACATCTCCAAGAAAACATTCCTGCTCATCTGCCTCAAGTGAAAGTAACCCAGAGCTTGTAAGTATACTGATAACTATTTTCACTATCTGGATTTTAGACCGATGAAAACAAATACCCCAGAGAGAGGCATTTGCTCTGTCAGTATACTAGTAGTTTGTATATGTGTTTGTGTGTGTACACCTCGGTATTAGGGCTATAAAATTATTATAACAGGATGACTCATGAATTTAAGATGGATTATCAGAAAGATTTCTAGTATGTTTCTTAATTCTAACAATTGACTATATATATCTCCATCTCTGTTCTGTAGGGCTAGTGAATCAAATCTTGACCCAGCAGAACCACTCAAAGTTGAGGAATCTGCACCCACAAAGAAGCCTCCTAAAGAACAGCGAAGTATTAAAGAAATGTTATTTATAACTATGGATGAGTTCAGTGGTGTTCCTGCGTAAGTACTGAAGATAAATGACAATGTTTGAATTTTTAATAATCAGTATGTGGCTGTTTAAATCATAATGGCTTTTTTGTATTCTGCGTTCAGATACTAATCTTGTCTAAAATAGTTTTTACATTCTCCTGTGAAAAGGCAGGAAACTTGTTGCTGAGTGCTTAAAATCATGTTTTTAGTTTTTTTTCCCAAAAATTTAATTTCCTTTTCAAATTAAGGATAGTGGGAGAAATAGATCTTATGAAAGTTCTTTGTACAGAGTTCCTATTTCCTACATGCACTGTGTTTTCTCATTAAATCTCAGGCTAGATTAGAGATAAGGTATAAAGCAGATATTATGTAAATTACTAAACTTATAATTTTTCTTCCCAAGTTACCAGAACCCAAAAAGGATTGCATTTTATTATTGAAACCTTTGCAAATAACTTTTTTTATAGTTCAAATATCTTTGTTGTTGTTTTGTTGTAAAACCTACTTTCAAGAGATCTAGAAACAGGTAATTTGTTGTTGAAGTTGGTGATACATATTTCTCAGACACATCTCAATTGTTCTGTAGTTTTAAGACAATTGAGTGTGAGAATTAGAAAGTCTGAGAAGAATACAGAAATGAATATGGCATCTTCTCGGATGGAGCTTGCCTTTCTTTTTTCTTTTTCTTTTTTTCTGGTCCTGGGGCTTGAACTCAGGGCCTGGGCACTGTCCTTGAGCTTCTTTGTTCCTAAGGCTAGTGCCACAGCACCACTTCTGGCATTTTCTGAGTAGTATATTGGAGATAAGAGTCTCACAGATTTTCCTATCTGGGTTGGCTCGGAATAGCATTCCTCAGATCTCCGCCTCCTGAGTAGTTAAGATTACAGCTGTGAGCCACCAGAACCTGGCTTTGCCTTTGTTTTGACTGATAGCAATGGATGGGGAACCAATTATGGAATGGTCCCCTTTTTGAATATTGAATGTCTGCCTACTTGCGAGGCAGTGCTCTATCAACTGAGCCAGCTCCTTTTTGCATAGTACTTGGTTATCTCCTGGGATAACCTGTGCTATGATCCTTTCCCCCTTGTAGCTGGGGGTGACAGGCATGAGACACTGTATCCAGACATTGTGCTTCTCCCACAGCTAGAATAACAGATGTGTACTACCACACCCAGCCATTGATTTGCAATGGAGTCTCACAAACTTCTTGTTGTCTGAGCCAGTTTTCCACTGTGATAGTCTGATCACTGATTCCCAACTAATGTAGCTAGGATTGCAGGCCTGAGCCATTGCACCTGGTGAAATCCATATTGCATTCTCATAATTCCAGGGGCATGGCTAACATCTACATTTTGTTTATTTTTTAAAATTTGTTTGGAGGAGTGGAATTCAGTTTCATGCATTTTATTTAAAATGAAAATTCCATGATTTCTCCCTCACCTCCTCCACTTAAAATTACTGTCTTTGTTTCTTATACCAGTGAAAGTCCTAATCTGAGCTTCTCAGGGGACATCCCATAAAATTCCATGGCAACCAGCATCTAGGTTTTATGTTATGTTATATTTCTTGTTAACTTTTTATTACAAATAATGTATATTATTAGAATATTGTCAGAAGATAAAACTCATTTGTAGTTCTGCCAGTCAAATATGTAGGGTGTTTTCAGATTTTATTTAATTTCAGTCATAAGCTAGGCATTTCTGATTGTTATTACAGTATAGTAATTGACTGTATACAGTTCACTCATGAGCATTTTTCCATCATTAACCATCATTGAGAAGTTGGATTTTAATAGTTCTAGAATGTTTGGGTGGCAGTCCTATAATTAATGTAATAAAAATTTAATAAAAATGTAGACTTGCTGGGTGCTAATGTCTCATGCCTGAAATCCTAACTACTCAGGTGGCTGAAATATGAGGGTCGTGGTTCAAAGTCAGCCCAGACAGGAAAGTCCACGAGACTCATATCAATAAACTACTAAAAAAGCTGGAAGTAGGCTGGGGAGGTGGCTCAGTGGTACAGTGTTTGCCTCGCATGCATGAGGCCCTGGGTGCGATTCCTCAGCACCACATAAGCAGAAAAAAGCTGGAAGTGGCACTGTGGCTCAAGTGGTAGTGCGCTAGCCTTAAGCTGAAGAGCTGAGGGACAGCACCAAGGCCCAGAGTTCAAGCCCCACAACCCCACCCCCCCCCAAAAAAAAAAAAAAAAAAACAACCAAAAACTGGAAGTGGAACTCAAGTGGTAGAGCACTAACCTTGAGCAAAAGAAGCAAAAAAAGCTCAGGGACAGCACCCAGACCCTGAGCCCCAGGATACACACACACACACACACACACACACACACCCAACCTCCCCACCCCAGAATTTACACACACACACACACACACACACACACACACACAAAACAACTAACCTCCCCACCGCAGAATTTAGGCTGTCTCATTGTTATAAAAGATGATGCAGTGATATTTCTTCTAGAGACTTCTTTTTTTTCTCCTTGGGACTGGGTCTCAGGAGGAGAGCCCGTGGGACACAGGGCATGATTATTTCACTCTCCAGGAAGTAGTTCATGTCCCTACAATTTTATACAGAAGAGCTTCACTGTGTCCTGGGCACACTTTCTCCCACCAAGCCCCAGGCTGCCTCTGATCTTTTCACTGCCATTTCCAGAAGGTCATCTAGTTGAATTCATACTAACCCTTTCTGACAAGCTTCTTTTATGCAACACGGATTTAAGATTCCTCTTCTCTTCTCCTAACATCATGATGGTGCATCCCTTTTTAGCATCAGCTATCATCCCATTGTTGAATGTATCACAATTTATTTGTCCCTTTATTTATCCTACTGACGGATAAGTTGGTTACTTCCGGTTTGGGGTCACTTGTGAATAAAGGTACTATAAACATTCTAGTATAGGCTTTCTGTAGATAGTTTTTAACCCAGCAGCATGTTTGCTCAGTTGTGTGTTGGTGGTATTGAACATGTGTTATATGCTGATTTGCCATCTGTAAACCTGTTTTGGTGAGTGTCTCTCAGGTCTGTAACTTTTTTTTGTTTGAAATGAGGTTTTTTTTTTATGAACTGTTTGCAGTTATTTTCTTTTTTAAAAAATAATTTTTTATTGAGATTAAGGGATTACATAAATTTCACAGATTTCACAGTATTGTGGGATAGTGAACACATTTTAACCTTCACGAGCTGCATTGTTAATATCATGGTCTATAAAGCTTATGGACACTACAAACTTTGACACTACAGCTATTTCTTCCAAATCAGGTGATATTTACATTTCTTTCCTTTTGCCATGTGTAAGCTGTTACTTCTTTCTTTCTCATTCTCTCCCTCCCATCGCTGCTCTTGAGTTGCTTATTTTCATCAAAGTCCAGTGCAGCTGATGGGCCCCTCTGTTGTATATTTTCCCGTTTTTCCCTCCGATTCTGTGCCTGCCTCCTAGCTTCCCTCAGTGTAACTTAGTTTTAAAATTGGGTTATTTCCTTATTAAGTTTGAAGAGTTCTTTGCATATCCTTCAGAAAAGTACTAGAACTTATATAGTTTCTCAACATGTTAATTTCTCTTTTTTTCTCCATACATTTGTAATTTTTTTTTTTTTTTTGGTGCCAGTCCTGGGGCTTGAATTTAGGACTTGTACTGACCCTGAGCTTTTTTATTCAAGGCTAACACTCTACCACTTGAGCTATATAGCTTCACTTCTGGCTTTTTTGGCGATTAATTAGAGATAAAAGTCTCACAGACTTTCCTGCCTGGGCTTGCTTTGAACCTTGATCCTCAGATCTTAGTCTTCTGAGTAGCTACTATTATAGGTGTGATCCACTGGCACCCAGCTAACTAAAAATCTTTTTTAACAAATATTTTACAGGTTTGCAGTCCATTTGAATTAGAATTTGAGTACTTTGAAGTTGTAACATTAATGCTGTGTGGGTAAGAGTAGATGAATGCATCCAGATATTCACAAATGATAAGTTACCATCTCTATTTAAGATTTTTAGCTGTTGAGATGTGTCTGGTCTGTTTGGAAGTTGATATAAAATTATTATTTACAAAAGAGCATGTTGAGCTGGGAGCCGGTGGCTCACGCCTGTCATCCTAGCTACTCAGGAGGCTGAGATATGAGGATCACGGTTCAAAGCCAGTCCAGGCAGGAAAGTCTGTGAGACTCTTATCTCCAATAAACTACTAGAAAACCAGAAGTAGCACTATAGTTCAAATGGTTGAGCCTTGCCTTGAGCTGAAATGCTGAGGGACAGCGCCCAGGCACAGAGTTCAAGCTCCATGACTGACAAAAAAACAAAAAACAAACAAAAAAAATCCACATTGATACTTTATACAGTCATCAAGTCATCACACTTAATTTTTTTTCAAAGAAAATAATCTGGTTTAAAAAATAACTACACACTTTTTTTTTATAGGTACATGAAGTCTCGCTTAACCTATTGTCAAATTAATGATGTCATTAAAGAAATCAACAAGGCTGTGGTTAGTAAATACAAGATTGTCCATCAACCAAAAGCATCTCTGAATTCTGTGAACAGAAATCTCTATCACAGATTTATTAATGAAGAAACAAAGGATACTAAAGGTAAAACCATAGCATATATTTGTGTGCATTTGCCAGCTATTTTGGAGAATAACTAGCATGAGGAACACATTTTTCTAATTCTGGAAAATTCTAAATCGAGGGTGAATTCTCAACCAGGTTCAGTTTTCCCACTGAGGACATTTTGTAATAATGCTTGGAGAGTTTTGGTGTTATAGTTGGGGCAGGGGTTGCTCTTAGCCTCTGGTGAGTGGGGCCCAGGGGTGCTGCTAAAACACCCTAGAGTACACAGGTGGGCCAGTATCCAAAATGTCTCATGCTGAGGCTGAGAAATGTGATGGGAATCTGTTGTGAAACTCTTCCCAGTGTATGTAGAATTTGAGCAGTGATAGTAATAGTTGGCTGTGTTTATATAGTACTGTGTAAACACAGTATAGTGGGCTCCCTCCTGTGCCCAGAGCTTTTCTCCTTCTCAACACCCTCATCCCATTTTGCAGAGTAGGCAAAACGAGCTCAACTTAGCCAAGAGTATTCAGGGATGTGGTAGATCTGCCAGGGCTTCTGTTCTTTTCATTGCTCCTGCATCATGCCCCTGGAAAAGGGAGTTGTCCAAGAGATATCAGTAGGGAGTTAGGACTCTAATAAACTGAACTGCAACTTCAGGTTGTTAGAGTAACTTTTATTTTAGCAAGAATGCAGTTTCTGAGTTTGATTGGATAATGACATTTAGAATGATAACATAGGCTGGGTATGGTGGTACATGCCTCTAATCTCAAATTCCGAAAGAGGAGGAGATCTGGAGGATCGTGGTTTAAGGCCAGCCTAGGCAGAGAATAAGTGAAACCCCATATTAACCAACAAGCCAGGCATGATCTTCATGCCAGTCATCTCCCAGCACAGGTTCAAGGCCAGTCCCAGGTCGGAAAAGCAACTAAAAAGTAAAAATGGGCTTCAGCCATGGATTTAAGTGGTAAAACACCTTCGTAATGTGCTCAAACCCTCTCCCTGCCCAAAATAATTATTAAAGCTATTCATATTCACAATCCAATGCCCTAAAGGTACATCTTGAGGGCTGGATGCATGACTCAACAGGAGAATGCCCTCCTAGCAAGCCTGAAGCCCTGAGTTCAAGCCCCAGCACCACTGAAAAGACAAAAGATTCACTTTGAAAGTTGGCTACATACAAGCTTTCATTAACATCTTTATTTTCAGGGCATTATTTTATAGTGGAAGCGGACATAAAGGAGTTCACGACTTTGAAAACCGACAAGAGGTTTTTTATGATCCTGAATATTTTGCGACACTGCCGGAGGCTGTCAGAGGTCCGAGGGGGTGGACTTACCCGTTACGTCATAGCATGAGGGTTTGCAAGCTTCCAACGCAAGCAACAGGAAGGCGCGGGGGCTAATGCTGGCAGTTTCTCACATATAACTTATTTAGTCTTTTCATTTCCTATGCTGTTTCTTACAGAAATAAAAACCTTTTTAGATATAGCATATATAATCAGATTTCACTGCCTTCCAGCAAGAATATAACCATTTACCATCTAAGCCTCTGAACTAGACAAGCACATAATGGAGCTAAGAAGTACGCATGTATAATTTTGTGTTTTGTGACACGGATATATGTGTGACATTTGAAAGGAAAGGGGCAAGAAGAGGAGGTCACAGATAGCCAGTCCTGGAATTCCAGCTTCCTTGTGTCTGACTCCATCATCTCAGTCCACAGGTAGACTTTTGAGAAGTGATCTGGAGGTGACCTGTGTGTCTGATTCTTGGGCCTCCTGGACATCCTTAGGGAATAGTGCCTGAAATTCATACTGTGTAATGAAAGTGGAATGCAAGTATGTTGAAATGCCATGATACTGTGATAGAATAAATGTGTATAGTTGATTTTGGTCCCTATGTCTTTACTCTTAACATTCTTTAGTGTCCTAAGCGATGAGGTGCATTTTTTGTTGTTGTTGTTCTGTTTGGCTGGGGTCAAAACCCCGCTTCCTGGCATAGAACTCTTAAATCCCTTTGAATTTCCTGCTAACAGGACCATATTTTATTCTAATGAGGTGATTCTTGCTGGGCCTCTGGATCGCTTCAGGGGGCTGCTCATGCAAGCTGTGACAGAAAAGGTTCCAACTCTTATCATCCCCTCCCCCCAGTCTCTAAGGGAAGGGAGAGGAGCTGAGATTAAATGAATCCATCATGCTGACATGATGAATGCATATGAAACCCCTAAACTATGGAGTTTGGAGAGCTTCCTGGTTGACAAACACACTGATGTACCAAGAGGGTGGATTTCCCCAACTATTTGGACAGCAGCTGAAAGAAAGCTTCTGGACCTTTCCTTTGTTCATCTGGGTAATTACCGGTACTGTTGTAATAGCCTTTATATAATAAAGTAGTAAATTGAAGCCAAATGTTACTCTGTGTTCTAAGTCACCTGGTCATTTCCACAACAGTGGGACTATAGGAACACCAATTTGCAGCCACGTCTGACGAGTGTAACCTGGGTTACCCACTGGTTATGATTGGTGTTTGAGTCCTTAACCTGTGGGGTCTCTGCTAATTCTAGGTAGTGTCACCACTGAATTGTGGGACTCACAGTTGGTGCTCAGAGAAGGAGAATTGGTTGCTATAGGGGAAAGGCCCACACATTTGCTATCAGAGGCATGAGGTGAAAGTAGTACAGAAGAAAACAGAGCTTTTCCTAGTTAGATGCAAACAATCAAATGTGTGAGCCAGGCTGATTGGGGTCATGGAAGAATGGGTGATGGGATTGTAAGAACTGAGCCTTGTGCCTCTTCTGCACCTGAAGAGACTGTCTGGTCTATTTATAGCTGTTAGCTGCTTGGCAGGCTCATTCTGGTAGCAGAGACAAAAATGTCTTTCCACATCCTGGGAACCTGGTTAACCCCATTAAAACTGCATGACCATAGTGTATTATAAGCCCTGCATATTTATTATCGTTTCTCCTTCACTTTAATGCAGAGAAATTTCTTTTTTCTTCTTTTTTTTTGGTAGTGCTTGAACTACCGATTTTATTTTTGGTGGGGATTGAACTCAAAGCCTCGTGCTTGCTAAGCAGGTGTTCTACCACCTGAGCGGTGCTTCTGACCCTTTTCCATTAGTTGCTTCCCGGGTAAAGTCTCGATTTGTGTCTAATCCACTCTAGGCTGCAATCCTTCTGCCTGTCCTTCTCTTGCTGGGATGAGGGGTGCTTGGCATTGCACCCAGATTCCCCCATAGTTAGGGTGATAGGCTCTAGCTATGTCACCCATGGAATCTGGAGAACTTTTCTCTGTTCTGGCTTTAAACCATAGTCCCTGACTTGTTTTTTTGTTTTTTGCCAGTCCTGGGGCTTGAACTCAGGGCCTGAACACTGTCCTTGAGCTTCTTTGGCTCAAAACTAGCACTCTACCACTTGAGCCACAGCTCCATTTCTGGCTTTTCTGCTTATGTGGTACTGAGGAATCGAACCCAGGGCTTCATGCATGCTAGGCAAGCACTCTACCACTCTGCCACGTTTCCAGCCCATAATCCCTGATTTGTGCTTCCTAAGTAGCTAGGACTACAGGCTTGAGCCAGTGAACTCAACAAATGCAGTTTTTTGTTTTTGTTTTTGCTAATTTTTTGTTGGTTGTAGGACTTGAACTCTGGGCTTGGCACTGTTCCTGAGCTCTTCAGCTCAAGGTTAGCGCTCTACCACTTGAGTCACAGTGCTACTTCTGGTTTTCTGGTGATTCATTGGAGATAAGCGTCTCATGGACTTTTCTTCCTGGTCTCGCTTTGAACCATGATCCTCAGATCTCAGCCTTCTCAGTAGCTAGGATTTCAGGCATGAGCCATGGGTGCTGGTGCAGTTAAGTTTTTAATTAATTTATTTAGTGGTTCTGGGTGGCGGGGGAGGTGGAGGGGGATTAAATCTAGCCCCTTTCTCATGAGACGCAACTATACTACCAATGAAGAACATCCCACCTTTGGTTGGTTGGGGACAAGATCTGGACATGTTGCCTCAGCTGACCTTGAGCACCTGGGCTCACTCAGCTCATCCTCCTACATCAACGCTGGAACTACAGGCACGTGCTCATCCTCCTACATCAACGCTGGAACTACAGGCACGTGCCATTGGATTTAAATTTAAGCAATGGCATTATCCTTTATTTTGGCTTAAGTCTTGCTTAATTTTTCTATGAATCACTTCTCCCTGTGAAAACATTCTGTTTGCTTAAAATACTTCTTCCTGCACACTCCTGTGGAACAACTGCTGGCCAGTTTGTTTCACTTTTGCTAAATGTATGCTGAGGTGAACCGCTACTTTAATTGTTAGCGCATAATCCATTTATTAGTTTAGATGTATAGTTATAATATAGGCATAAATCAGAAGAAAAGAACTAATCTCTGTTTACTGAAATTTTCCTTTCAAGTAAAATGACAGGCTATATTTTCTTTCTTACTTTCCTTTTGGGGGGGCGCGGTGCTGGTACCAAGAATTGAACTCAGAACCTCACACTCTTACTTGGTTGACACTCAGGGATACTACTTGAGCCACACCTTTAGCTGGTTAGTTGGAGATAAGAGTGACTTGGATTTGTCTTTCTGGTTGGCTTTGAACCCCAATCCTCAGGTCTCAGCCTCCTGAGTAGTTAGGATTACAAGTGTGAGCCTCTAGCATCTGGCTACTTCCTCTTTTTTTTTTTTCAAGTTATATTTTTACACTAATTTTGAGGAACTTTTGCATTCTGGGTCTCTGTCCTTATGTCCCTCTCTTGCCAGTCTTTACTCTCCATCCACTTAGGGGAACACTCCCTTGTGTGCTGTGAGGTGAAAACTCAAGAACCTGACACATGTGGTCTGCGCCACCAGCCTCAGGCCCTGGATTACTCCCCGCCCTATTACTCCTCCCCCCTTCCCCCCTGCAGGCTGCTGCAGATGTGGGTTGTGAGATACTGTATTTATGTGACTGTCCACCTAACAGGTAAGTGAGTATGAACAGGAGTTTATTCTAACCAAGTGAGGGGAGTGCCCCAGGAAAATGGGAACCCTCGTGACCCAAAGCAAGTGGGCTCCAGAAGTGACATCCATTGCCAGATTCACCAGTGGTTCATGCCTGTAATCCTAACTACTCAGGAGGCTGAGACCTAAATAAGGATTGAGGTTTGAAGCCAGTCCAGGCAGACAAATCCAAGAGAATCTAGCCAACACAAAGCCCGACGTAGAGATGTGACTCAAGGGGTAGAGCAACCAGCCTTGAGCAAAAAAATTAAGCAAGCCTGGGTACCGTTGGCTCATGCCTTTAATCCTTGCTACTCAGTAGGCTGAGATCTGAGGACTGTGGTTCAAAGCCAGCCTAGCCAAGAAAGTCTGTGAGACTCTTATGTACCAAAATATGTACCAAAATTATGTACCAAAATAGCTGGAAGTGGAGCTGTGGATCAAGTGGTAGACTGTTCTGTTAGCCTGGAGCACAAAAGCTCAGGGACAGCACCCAGACCCTGAGTTCAAGCCCCAGGATCAGCACACTCACACAAAAAAGAAAAGGAAAGCAAGAACATGAGGCCGTGAGTTTGAGCCCCAGTATAATAATCAAGAAAAAAAAAAAAGGAAAAAAGCGGCATCTGAAGGCTGGTTTTATAGACAAGAAAGAGGAAAGAAGGGCCAGCAATAGGCGGCTGTGCTGTTACATTAGTGGCCTGAGGACGGTCATTGATTTGTGATGCACTTAGGCTGTACATTCCAGGAAGGGACTGATATAAGCGGGAACAGCTCTTGGGGTTGTTTGTCATCTTTATGGTGTCAGGGAGTCCACATGCTGCCATGCTAGGGCAGAGTGACCTAGGTAGTCTGTCATATGCCTCATGCTTACCTAGACTTAAGACATTTGTGGCCTCATTCTTGTGTTACTTTAAATCCTTTCTTACCATACAGCCTTCAGTCTGTTCTTGTATTGGTTCTGGTTTATTTTTTATTTTTTTTCTTTTACGAAGAGTTGGTTATTTGTGTGTGACTTGACCCTTTCCCTCACCCATCAACACTGGTTGTCAGGAGAGATCCCCCCTCCTAGGTATATTCTGTCTCCATCTTCTGCTTCTTAACTGGTCCTTGAGTTCTTGCTCTGTTGCTGTCTATTCCCCTTATAAGTGTCTCTTCTTACTAAGAAGCCTTCCTTGGTGTTCTTTATTTCACAGAACAAAAGCCAGCTCTGTATGAAGTCCTCCAAGACACTTCGTGGCCCCTTCTCAACCCGGGGTGTCATCTACCCCTCCCTTCAAAGTGGCTGTGCTCCAGCTGCTTTGGCCTCCATGCTGTTTCTGGAGCAGGGTGAGTGTGAGTCTCCCTCACACCTTCCCATTGGTGGTTGTCTGCCCAGAGTTTCCCTGGCTAGCTCAGGTGATCTCCCCCTAACCTGCTCCATATCTCTGCTCATTTTCTCTTGAACCCTTAGGCCTTCCAGCCAACTTTTATTTAAAAAAATAAATAAATCTCAGTTCCCTTCTGCAGTAATACCTCTTCCTTTCCCTGCTTTCTTTTTCTTCACTGCTTGTAATAATCTGACGGTTAGTATTTTTACTTCATAGTTTCCTCCCATTTTCTCCCTCCACTAGAATTCGAGGGCAGGAGTTTTTGCTCCTTTTGTTCACTGCTGTCTCTGCCTCTAACAGTTGGCTACACTAGAGGGCGCTGAAGAAATAGTTAGTGAGTGCACTTTGCCTGGAACAGTAATAGATGATCCTGGGCACCAGCCTCCACTTTTCTCTGCCTCCATTTCCTTCTGTATATACTGAAATGGTTGCCCTAACCATTCCTTAAAAACCCTCCATTTTTCATATTTATGGTTCTAATATGTCCAGTTTCTGGTGAGAAATACATTCATATTGAAATTAAAGGATTTTCTGTCTGGCTAGATCCTAAAAATGTAAACGGGAGAAAAATCTGGTATTTGCATAGAGATCATCCCTCTTAAAGAAACAGTTTCTAACTCGTTAAGCCTTAAGATATATTAAATTCTAAGTTAAAATGACATTATTTAGCAAATCTTTATTTATCAAATGCTTTCATTGATTAAGGACTTTCCTAAAGATGATTCTTTTTCCATCCAAACGAAAAGACCCTCTGATTTGGTTTTCTAATTGATTTTGTTTATTAGGTGTGGCTTTAGGATGTCAGAGTCTATGAGTACACTATATATAATCATAAATGAAATTTATGGTCCATTGTATAGAGCTGCATAGTTTCTTTTATGAAACTTCTCATCTGCTAAATAAACCATCACTGTTGTTCTGTGGTTGTATTTACTAATGCAAGTGGCAAAGGAAGAGGGACTCATGACATTGAAGACTTCCTAGTATATTTCAAAAAGACTAGAAAGGAGACCTGTAACATAATAGAGCAAGTGAGCTCTGTTAAA